ATATATATATATATATATATATATATATATATATATATATATATATATATATATGTATATACATAAGATGAATGCGAATTGCCGGAAAAACTTTTCATCCTTCGATTGAAATTATTGACATCAATTTTAATTAATCGAGCAATATAAAAATAACTTGCGTGCAATTTCTTATCTAGATTTTCACCTGATATGCCTTGATCTGAATCAGAGATTTTCATATGGTTCGCTTCTCACTTATCTGAGATCAGATCAAAGCGGATGAGATGAAAATCTAAATATGAAATTGCACGCAGGCCTTTAGTCTATTGCTCCATCAATTACAATTGTCATCGATAACTTATATTGAAGAATAAAAAACTGTTTCACAAACTCGTATTCACCCTCTATGTATGTGTGTGTGTGTGTTTATATAATACAATTTTTTTTAATCATTATTTAATATGAATACTGAAATTAATTTTTAGTTGTACGGGGTTTTATCAAGACGAACTTTAACTTATTACAATTAATTCATATAATTTCGCTTGTAGATCTATAACAGATGAGAAATTTAAACTGGAAGTCCAAATTAAAGATTATGATGATATTAACGAGTTCCGTGCGGGACGAATACGACGGGCGGCCGTGCCCCAGGTACCGCGAGGTTCGCAGGCGCCGGCCTCTCGTCGCTGGTTCGCGCTGTCGCCGCGACGAGGCGACGACTTCACCCGGGCCGTCACTCGCGGTTAAAAGTTAACTCGGCGCCTATATAAGTCGCTGCGCGTGACGGCTCGTAGCCTTCTTGAGTGCACTGCACGTTGGGTTACTGCCTTTAGAGTGTCTACGACATGTTAGCTTATCTCGTGTGAGGTATTTTGGTAACTTCACTGATCTCCACGTTCTCGATATTACCTGCGGTTGAGAGGAGGTTTCGCGATTACTTTGCGGATTACTTTGAAGCCTCCACCACGGGTGGATGCTTCCTTTGGCAATATCTCATGCACTGCAGATATTGTGCATCGTCCGACAGGGACTGTTCCTATCGCTCTTGCGACTCCGAACGCGAGTCACAGAGGACAGCCTCTGCCGCGCTTGCTCTGCGGCATTATTCACGTGAGTCACGCTTGCTTCTAAGTCTTCGCGAGACTTGACCTTTGTAGTTTACGTGACTCATCGCGCGCGAGCCACGCTCGCTTCTAAGTCCGCACCAGATTGGCGCGCTTTAATCGCGCCTGCCACACTCAGCGTTCGCTTTTTAGTCCGTACAGGACTTAGTCTCCGTCGCATCCGCGACTTTCTTCACGTGAGCCACGCTCGTTTCTATGTCCGAACAGAACTTAGTCGCCGTCGTGCCTGCGATATTCCTCACGCGAGTCACGCTCGCTTTTAAGCTGTACAGGACTTAGTCTCTGTCGCGCCAGCGACTCTCTACACTCACGTCTGAGTCTTTACAAGAAGTTTGTTCTTTTCCTCTGCACTAGTGCAAGCAGCGTACACTAAACTGTTCCTTTCAACGATTGCGGCGACTTTATGACGTCATCATCGTTCTTTTCCTCAGTGCAGCGGTACTCAGTGCAACAGAACATTGCACTGCCTGCCCTAGTTCTCGAGCTATTGTGCAATATGGCGACGTATATGATACGAATAGGTTGGAATCCTCAAATAAACAAGCAGCATAACAAATTCTTGTTAAGGTAAAATTCAATATAATTAAAGTAATTATGATATGATTGATATTCAGATAAAATGGATTACAGTACGTATTTATTTCGATATGGAGTTATTTATTTTACAGTATATATTTATTACAGTTGTAACAACCGTACGTCTCGCGCTGATTGTTGGTCGTATCGCCGGGAATATCGCTCGTCGGAGTCAAGGATCGATATATGATTGACACCAGCAAATAATAACAAATAACAATTTATTTGATCTTTAGTATACAGAGCAACGGCGTGAGCTACGCGTGTTTCGGCGTGAGACGGCAGCAGTGATCGGGTCTCGGTTTTGCTTGGTCGAGTCTCGCGGTTCGGTAGGCGGAGCGAATAGCGCGAAGCTGGTACTTCGCAAGAGACACGGCGCGTGAAATCCGCGAATCGTAAGGCGAACTGACGTTTAGCGGCGGGGTTCCGGCGGTACACGGGATCTTGACGTGTCGCAGCACGTTCCGCGATATATCGGGCGACTCGCGTATCGCCGTATTTAATAAAGCAAGTGTCGACAACGTTCGATCGGGCGCAGCGAACACACTGGCTCGGATGCTTGCTCGTGGAGTCAGGATACGATCGGTACCGAGAGGACTCGATCGGGTTCGCGAACACACGAACTCGTAGGCCGGTCGTTGGATCCTGAGAGGACGGCGAAGTCGGTATCAAGAGCGCTTGATGGAGATAGCGAACACACAATCTCCAGGTGCCGATTTCGTCGATGTGGTTTCGGAAGGTGACGGGCAGGTAGAAACGATACGGTCGGATACCTTGCTCTCCGCTCTGAAGCATCGAGTTCGGTCGGCGGTCCGGATCGGTCTCTCCGCTTATTTCTCGGCCACGGTTTATATACCGTCTCGTTACATTTGATGTTTGTTGACGTTGCGTGTCTTTAGACGTGGCGCATGTTTATGTTTGTGTTATTTGTTTGGCGCTTAGCGCCGTTTACAGCCAACGGATGTTGTGTTGGCTGTTCTTAGGGACGATGCGTGTAAGGCATCGTCACACAGTACATATTTATTTTGATATGGAAATATGGAGTTAAACAAAAAAATGGCACAATTTTAAGGGATAAATTAGGAAACATGATACGATATTAAGTATTATTGAATACAAAATGTTATATTCGCTAAACTGTTGACAGTGTAGCATAAAGTACTAATAGAACTATCAAGCGACACAGTAGTGTCGCGAAGCCAAGTACAAGCGCGAAGCATTGGCGGCCTACCGTGTTATATACCGCGACGGCTTTAGTTGAATGTAGGCTAGATTTTCGTTTCGGCTATAACGGTTGAATTGACGAAGTTCTGGAGGGACTTAGTCGATTCCTTGGATTTACATTATATTATAAAACTGCCTTTATTTTTGCTCTATGTGCTCCAGAAGCTGAGCTATTTTAGCTCAAAGTCTGAAATCATGAATTTACGCGTGAGAAACGTCTCATCACAGAAATTCTCCATCACATATCTTCTCTGTTAGATGACGGGATGGCGAGAGTGTTGCGATTACCGATTTACCGACTTGTAATTTATATAGCGGCAGAGTGACAGTTCGTGCGTACAAGAATGGGGTTATAACGAGGTTATATTTTTAATGGTTATAATTTATAATAGTTTTAAAAGTTGCGAAGTGTGTTTGTCGTGATAATTTTGAAGAAAAGTTATGGAATTAACAAGGATAATATCAGATAAGTACCGGCGAATGTATAAAAATAAAACTATATAACGATGTAAAACTTGAATACCGTGTCGTTTTTACTTTTTATAGCTAAATTAAATAATAAGATAAAAGAGGAAGGAAAAGAAAAGAAAGAGAGAAAGGAGAGAGTGTGCGAGAAGAAATAAAGAGGAAACAGAAAAGTGAAGATAAATGGTAAGATAGTAAAAAACCACAAGAGAGCGAGATGGAAAGACAAGATGAATATATGAGTAACAGAATGAATAAATAAAAGGATAAATAATAAATCTATCCATTCCTATCGTATCCTTTTCTTTTATTTTCAATACCCATACAGCACATGATATCATTTGTACATAATATTTTCATAGAAATCTGTGCTCAAACTGACGTCAGAAAGAAGAAAACTTCAGGAACATTTAATGAATTTATTGTGCTAATGGGGAATAGGAACAAACACAGTGTATTAGTAACGCTACATCGTGTGTGTGTGTGTGTGTGTGTGTGT